TCCCTTTTCATTTCTGATTTTGTTAATTTGGATGCTCTCTCTCTCTCTCTACCTTTTGGTTAGTTTGGATAAAGGCTTGTCGATCCTGTTGATTTTCTCAAAGAACCAACTCTTTGTTTCATTGTTCTCTTTGCTTCTATTTTATTGGTATCAGACCTCAATGTGATTATTTCCTGGTATGTATTCCTCCTGGGTCAGTTTGCTTTTTTTTTTTTTTTTTTTTTTTTTTTTTGTTATAGAGCTTCCAGGTGTGCTGCTAAGTCACTAGTGTGAGATTTCTCAATCTTCTTTGTGTGGGTATTTGGTGCTATGAATTTTCCTCTTAGTACTGCTTTCATAGTGTCCCATATGTTTGAGTATGTTGTACATTCATTTTCATTGAATTCTAGGAAATCTTTAATTTCTTTATTTCTTCCTTGACCAAGTTGGTGATTCAGTTGAGCATTATTCAGTTTCCATGAGATTATAGGCTTTCTGTAATTTTTGTTGTTGTTGAAATCTAACTTTAAGCCACAGTGGTCCAATAAGATACAGGAGGTTATTCCAATTTTTTTTGTATCTGTTGAGATTTGCTTGTGGTCAATTTTAGAGAGGGTTCCATGGGGTGCTGAGAAGAAGGTAAATTCTTTTGTGTTAGGGTAGAATGTTCTCTATATATCTATTAAGTCCATTTGAGTCATAATATATGTTAGTTCCCTTATTTCTCTGTTAAGTTTCTGTCTGGCAGATGTGTCCATTGGTGAGTGTGCATTGTTGAAGTCTCCCACTACTAGTGTTTATGGTTTGATGTGTGATTTAAGCTTTAGTAATGTTTCTTTTATAAATGTGGATGCCCTTGTATTTGGGACATAAATGCTCAGATTTGAGACTTCATCTTAGTGGATTTTTCCTGTGATAAATGTATAATGTCCTTCTCTATTTCTTTTGATTGATTTTAGTTTGAAGTCTCTTTTGTTAGATATTGGGGTATCTACCCCAGCTTGTTTCTTGGGTCCATTTAATTGGAAAATCTTTTCTCAGCCTTTTACTCTGAAACAGTGTCTGTCTTTGAAGTTGAGGTATGTTTCTTGTACACAGCTGAAAGATAGATCTGTTTTCATATCCATTCTATTAGCCTGTGTCTTTTTACAGGTGAATTGAGTCCATTGATATTAAGGGATATTAATAACCATCAATTGATAATTCCTGGGGTTTTTTTTGGTGGTATTTGGTTTCCCTTCATTGGTATTTGCTGGTATGGGATTATCTATTGCCTGTGATTTCATGGATATATCTAATTTCCTTAGGTTGGATTTTTCCTTCTAGTGCTTTCTATAGGGCTGGATTTGTGGATAGCTATTATTTAAATCTGGTTTTATCATGGAATATTTTGTTTACTTAGTTTATGGCAATTGAGAGTTTTGCTGAATATAACAGTCTAGGTTGGCATCCATGGTCTCTTAGTGTCTGTATAATGTCTGTCCAGGACCTTTTGGCTTTCAGAGTCTCCATTGAGAATCAGGTATCATTCTGATGAGTCTGCCTTTATATGTTACTTGGCCTTTTTCCTTTGTAGCTCTTAGTATTTTTTCTTTATTCTGTATGTTTAGTGGCTTGATTATCACATGGTGAGTGGACTCCTTTGGGGTGTCCAGTCTATTTGGTATTCTGTAAGAACCTTATATTTTCATAGGCTTTCTTTCATTATGTTAGGAAAGTTTTCTTCTATGATTTTGTTGAGTATATTCTCTGTGCCTTTGAGCTGGTATTCTTTTTTTAATTTTACTTTATAATTTAATTTTTCATATCAGCCATGAATTACCTTGTTCTCCCCCCCCTCCCAACCCCCCCCCCCCGCCTTTACCCCAGCCCACCCTCCATTCCCATCTCCTCCAGGGCAAAGACTCCCCTGAGGATTGAGTTCAACTTGGTAGATTCAGTCCAGGCAGGTCCAGTCCCCTCCTCCAAGGCCAAGCAAAGTATCCCTGTATAAGCTCCAGGTTCCAAATAGGCAACTCATGCACTGAGGACAGGTCCCAGTCCCACTGCCTGGATGCCTCCCAAACAGATCAAGCTAATCAACTGTCTCACTTATCCAGAGGGCTACTGGCAATGGTCGAGAGACAGCCCAAACTGACCTACTCTGGTGATAGGATGGCCAAACACCCTAATTGTCATGCTAGAAACCTCATCCAATGACTGAGGGAACCGGATGCAGAGACCCACGGCCAGGCCTCAGGTGGAGTTCCAGGACCAATTGGAGAGAAAGAGGAGGGTTTGTATGATCGAGAATTGTTGAGACCAAGGTTGGAAAAAGCACAGGGACAAATAGCCAAATGAATGGAAACACATGAACTATGAACCAATAGCTGAGGAGGCCCCAACTGGATCAGGCCCTCTGGATAAGTGAGCTGGTATTCTTCTCCTTCTTCTATCCCTGTTATTCATGGGTTTGTTCTTTTCATGGTGTCCTAGATCTCCTGGATGCTTTGTGTTATGACCTCATTGGCTTTAATGTTTTCTTTGACTGATGAATCTATTTCCTCTATGGTATCTTCAATGCCATAGATACGTTCTTCCATCTCTTGCATTCTGTTGGTCATGCTTGCATTCGTAGTTCCTGTTCATGGGCTCAGATTTTCCATTTCCAGCATATCCTCAGTTTATGTCTTCTTTATTGCCTCTTTTTCAGTTTTCAAGTCTTGAACTGTTTCCTTCACCTGTTTGATTGCTTTTTCTCGGCTTTCTTGGCTTTCTTTAAGGGATTTATTGATTTCTTCCATTTTTTCTTTTATTAAGAGATTTTCTATTCATTTTACATATCAACCACAGATTTTCCTGTCCTCCCTTCTTCCACCCCCCAATCTTCCCCCCAACTCACCCCCTATTCCCACCTCCTCTAAGACCATGAGGGTATATTGGGATAGGTGGGGGGCAGCAGAAGCAGATGAGGGAGGGGGAACTGTGGTTGGTATGTAAATGAATAAAAAATATTAATTAATTTAAAAACACTGGGCTTTAGTCCCTCCTCCATCCATGCCAGGCTGTTAATGGACATCACTCAGGTGTTTATTCTCCTTAAGTTCTTCTTTGTTAATTTTATTATATTTGTTTCTTTGTGTTTTCCTTAAGCTCCTTGAATTTTGATGAAGTTTATAATTTTCTTTTAAATTATGCATCCTGGGGTTCATACAGGGGATTCTCGTCAGCAAACGTTTCTATAGGCCTGATAGGTTTGGGGATGAGATGCTGCTTTGATCTTTTATATCATGGGAATTTGTCATGGGATCCCAACATGTGGACTTCTTTTGTCAATTCAGTGTTATATGTGAGCAGAGCAGATTGGGCAAGAGAAAGGTGGGGTCTGGAAGTCGGGTGTGGCTTACGTGGAATGACATCGGGCAGACACAGGGTGCAGGCCTGGTGTGCATGAAATGGGTTCTTCAAACCACACGTTTTCAAGGAATCTGGATTCCTTTTCATGGGAAATGGTATTTAGAGACTGGAACATATTACCTACGTCCACTTTTTGCTAGTGAAAGACTGCTGTTTTTCTTTTTTATCTATGTATTGGTCAGATTTAGGGAATAACAGGTTAATTAAGATGATAAAAATCTCACATCTGTACCTCTGTGTTGAGCTCCTCCTATCTTTAGCAGATAAAATGATGAATTTTGGGTCAGCTCTTCAGCTGAAATATAAGCCCATATGGTAATGTTATTACTCTTTCCAAATCCCCATTTCAAATTCTCCTTTTAGTAGCTATGGAACCTTTCAATATCATCAAATTATTTGCTTATTTTCTCAACCTATGCAAAGATAATGCATTCTCAAATAATAATCCACACAACTATGAAATACAAATAATAAATTGCAAGGTCATTTGCAATTATCTTTGTCTTTAATCTGAGAATTTAATGTCCAAATTAAACTTTCTCAACTGTCATTGCAGTAGTTTTTTTTTTCATGTTTCTCATAATTACAAAAATGCTGGTGAGAAGTGCATCCATTTCTGTATATATTTTATTTTAAGGGTTTAACTATTTCTCTATTTTAACATGTTTTATATATACAATACTAGCACACCTGCAAATCCAGAGGCTGTGTGTAATGCAGCTGTGATATGTGATCCTCATCCACATGCTGCAGATGATCCCTTACAGGATTTTCCCATGTACACTTTGTTTCAAAAATATTTTATGAACAACCACACATTGCTTGTTGTCCCTCAACTCCTATCAATTAGGACATTCTACATTTATCACTTCTCTTTCTATCTTCTTAGCATCACTAAAGTTCACTCTGTATCAATTTCTAAATCTCTAGTTTATTCTATTTTCCATATAGCTGTTACTCCAATAAGTGGATAGAGTGTAGTTCCTTTTCCTTACTTATTATAATTTCTCAGACATAAGGAAATAAATCTATCATATCCATCATATGAAAAATGATTGCTCCAAACCCTTCAATTACATATGAACTTTAATTTTGATATCTACCAAGAAAAATAAGTTTACTTCATATGTTGTCATTGTCAGGCAAATTGGTTCATATTACATTCTAGGAGTGGCTGTTCCTGCCTAACAGAAAGAGTAGAATGGAGCAGACCAGGCATTCTGAACTCTAAAGAGAGATTATAAGATAAGAAAAATAGAGGAGTAAATAGAATTTGTCAAATATTTGGGGTTTTTAACTCAAATGATATGAGAAATTAGAGTCAGAGACTAGAAGTCACAGAGAGGATGAAACTGTCATAACACTGTCAATGGCAGAAAGGAGTGAAGAGAAGAAATGGCTGGGAAAGGAAGGATTGTACTAGAGCAAGGGGATCCAGGTAGTGGAGTCACCAATCAATGTACTGTATGAGTGTTAGGAAAGAGGCAGAAAACAGTGAGGACAACTGGAGGTTCCCCAGCAGGAAGAGGGAAAGAGGAGAACCCTGGGAGTTCCTTGTGTTAGGGGAAGGGGCAAGCCTCTAAAGAGCCAGAGTTCCAACACCCTCCCCCAGGTAAACCCTAACATTATGCCTTCTTTTCCTTCCTGGTCACACCCAGGGACCTGAGCAACAAGCCCAGCATTTTCTTCAGCAGCCACCAGGTGCCCAGAGTGAGCCCCAACAGGAACAATAGGACATCCAGCAGGTTCTGCACATGCCATGGCTGTTGAACGCCATGGGGCTTGAGATGTGCTCCTCCCCCTGTTTGTAGGATGTGGTCAATCCAGCCCACCAGACGCTGGGAAGGTGTCAGGGGGTGGGAGCGCCTGATGGCCCTGGCGGCCATTGCTACAGACTTGTACCTATGGGCAGACACAGAGAGAATGTGTTACCAATGTGGTACACTAGTACTAGAGAACGTATAACAGGCATACAAAACATACACACACACACACACACACACACAATCTTTGTCTATTATAGACCCATAGGTCAGCTTCAAACAAAATTGTTAGCATATAATTGACACTGTGTACCTGAGTCCCAACTAAAAGTTCAATAAAAAGCTAAAAAGTATAACCTTATACAGAAGGATCAAAATTAACCCCGGAAGGGAAACTTTAAAAAATGACTATATCTGTAAGGATTGCACCTATGGTGCTGACGGTGCTCATATTAAGTATATTTGAACACATGTGACAGGATGTCTGTGTGATTAAGTGATTAGGACATTGAAACCTGGGTATTTAGTCCTGTTTGGCTGTGACAACATTGTTCTATATGGGCTAGGGAAATGTGGGTCACCTGTTCTTGTATCTTTGAAAACTTCCTTTATATCAGGCCTGTCCTGGGCCCTAGGAACATAGTGGAAAGTGATACCCACTGCTTCCTCATGGTGAATGCTTTCTATGTGCTAGTGTGGATTAGACAATAATTGCCGAGGGCTGTGGCAGTAAACAGCAGGTGACAACTAGTGTTTGACAAGTCGACCCAACAGACACATAACTCCCTAGTAGGAAGAACCACTTCACAAAGCCCTGGAGTTACTATTATTGACCGGTTGCTCCTGTCTGTAATTTTTCTCATGTGCTACTGTATTTCTTTCCTAAAAACAGATATGGGTGTTTTCCCACTGCTTGTGTGTTTATCTCTAGAATATATTCCATGTATGGGCACACATATAGTTGTGGATGGTCAGGAGGTTGATTTCTGCTCAAGCTGTAAAATTCTGATGTATAGAAACTATACTAGGATATTTTACATTACTCGGACTGACATAGGATTCTCAGTCACAAAGATAGCCTTTTACATAGACAGGTAATTTTAGATTTCAGAACAGATTGAAAGCTGGCTGCTTGCCCCTAGAGACAAATACATGAAGCCGTTTTTACAGGTGGTGTTTTGTTTATTCAAGGTCAGAGCTTGAGAAACTTTAGACATAAATTTCTCAGTTATTGTCCCTTTGCACACAGTCCCAGCCTCAGTAGATACTACAGGCTCAAGGTTCAGCCAACTGTTAATTTGTTGTCTGGGATCCCTCACCAACTTAGAGCTACGTGCATGGATCAATGACATTACTAGCCCAAGAGAACTATGTGACTTACCTTGTGTTCTGAGAATTGGTAGGGTCCTGAAAATGTAACTTATAATTTTCCAGAGTTTAAGTGAGTAATGAGTCAATAGATGATGTAATAATATATGAAAGAATGTAACAGAGTAAAGAGAAGAAATGTGTAGATATAACTGTGCCAAAGATATTTGTAACTGTGGGGAGACAAAGAAAATGAAGCTGTGTAGAAAAGAGATATACAAGAGAAATGTTTGGAAAAGAAAGATGTATAGACTTGTGAAAACAGATATAACTGTGTACAGTGATGTGTGGCCATATGCATGTAAAGATAGACATGTAGCTGTCCATATAGAAGGTAGCAGTGTGGAGATATGTAGCAATGCAGAGACAGAAAGAGTCAGAGGTCATTTTTAAGATGAAGTAAAAGAGAAAGTTAACATCAGAAAGTATGTGTTTTTGCTTATTTTACCAGAGAGATAAGAACTGATTTCTAAATACCCTCGGATAGACAAAGCCTAGCCCTTGCTGCCTTTGTGTATTTTCTTGCATTACCATGGAGGTGGTCTTGGAGCAGGCTTTCCATACGGCCATTGATAAATAATGACACACATGGTAGAGATAATGCAAATATTTCAAAGTGTTAAAGAGAAATTAGTATATGATGAGTGAGTTCAAGCACAGAAAAAATAATAGCCAAAAACATGTTCTCCTAAGAGGATAACGTTGGAGAGATGGTTCTGTGAGTTCAGCACAAAGACCATGGGGAGGGAAGGTCAGCCACATTAAGGACATGCAATTGTCCTTGTTGTAGTTTGAGTGAGAATGACTCCCATAGCCACATATATTTGAATATTTGTTTCTCAGTTGGTGGACTGTTAAGGAAGGATTAAGAACTGTGGCTTTATTGGAGGAGGTTTGCCACTGGCAGGGTTCAAAATGCCCACACAAGGTCTAGTCTTGATCTTTCTGCCTCCTGCCTGCAGATCAAGATGTAAGCTCCAGTGCCATACTGCAGACACAGTTGCCACCATGATGATCATGGACTAATCCTCTGAAACTGTAAGCAAGACCCAAATAAGTGCTTTATCTTACATGTAGCCTTGGTCATGGTACCTCTTCACTGCGATACAATAGTAACTAAGACCATCAACTTCTGATACAATTGGAATTCTCTAGGTATTTGGTGAATCAGGGAGATTAGCCACCTAAAGAACATGCAAATAATCTCTCCTGCTTCAACTAGAATTCTATTATAGATATGCAAAATAGAAGAGGTCATAAAGATAATGATGTGTATAAGAAATCACATCACATCAGGTAGAAGCATATTCTCAGTTCCTCACCCAAAATTAGGATTAATAGCAAAGGAAAAGCAAGACTTTCAAGTATTGCATGTGTATTATAACACATCCCACAGAATTCCGTTTCATTGATAAACTGGCTACACAGACCCCTTAGTGTTAGGCCTGCATTCATCCTAAGGGACCCCAACCCCAGAGAGCTGCATACCTCTTGTCTTCTATGACTTCTTTCAGCGTATGTGCAAATGTCTCTGCCTTGAGTGTCTCTAGCTGAACAGAAACACCAATTTTCTTTGCTTCTATTCGGACCATGTTTTCAGCCTGGTCTCCATAAAAGGGAATCCCCACCATGGGTACTCCATGCTGGATGGCCTCCGTTATGCTATTCATTCCCCCGTGAGTAACAAAAAGACGAATTCTAGGATGAGCTGTTGCAAAAGAGAAACACGGTCCAATATTTCACTATGAAAGTTTCAGATACCAGGGAAAGCAGCAGACCCAAGAAATGCCAATGTGCTAGAGAGAATGAATTTATTGACTTTTCTTTTGAGATTTACAGTGTTCTAAGATATGATATCCAGCCTTCTGCCCGTTGCTCTATATTGAAAGCCACCAAATATTTCTTCTGATCATAAAAAAAAAATCATCCAAACTATACCTCACACAAAATCTACCCATTTTCTCTGGAAAGCAGGTCTTTTTCCTATTGTGTAGCCTGTGATTTTACTGAACATATCTATGGGGGAAATTTTCCAACTTCTTTTTAATCACAATCTTAGGTACAAAACTGTGATTCAGCCGTTGAGTGTAGAAATGATGGGTCTTCAAAAAGTCACACAGACACCAATAATTTGAGGGGAGGTGGCTTTAGGGAATTCTCTGTTACTCAAGAAATAAGTATCTCCATATCAGGCTATGAATTTATTCAGGTTGGCACTCAAAGAGCTTCCTACATCCTCAACTCTCAATATCTATGTTGTAAGTATCTGAGTTTTCAGCCCTTGCCGACAACCAAGATATGTCTACATTCTTACATTCATATGTGTGTCTTTAAAAAGGCTAAAGAGTTCACACATCATTATGACAATAGTGGCAACAAATAGTGACAACTACCTCAAGGAGTAGTAATAGCTCACATGTTTTTCAAGATTGTGTTGGGGTGATCAATGTTCTACTGAGGGAATTGAGATCTCTCTGAGTTGGAAAGGATAAGGAAGTTGCTGCTATGGCTAGCCTAGAGCTCAGCCTGATTCCCCCCAAGAACTCTAGCTCCTTTTGCCAGCCTGCTGGAGTTATGTCTTTACCTATCAGCAGCCTTCTCTTCTGCGAGTTCAAGCACTCAGACATCAGTTATCTATTAAGTCCCAAAGCACATTAACAGAAATAAAGTAACAGGTCTAGGAGGTGCTTACCCAGAAGGTCAGTCTGGGGAAGCCAATCCATGAGTTTGACATTTGGAGCCACACTGACATCTTTAGGCCAATGAGTGTCCTTACATGCCCACACCACCCCTTGAGGGAGGTGAGCAAAGGCACTATTCATCTCCTTAATAAGTTCCTTTGTCTGATACATTGTTGCTATGGAGCCCAGGGCCACAAGGACAAAACCCGAGTCTCTAAACTTAATGATAAAATCCTCTAAGTCCTAGAAGAAACATAGAAAGAAGGCAAAAGAAATGGTTTGTAAAAGGCAAGCCAGCTATGACACAAAATAGGCCTAGAATTGAGTAAACACAGGCTTTGGTTGCTTGTGTTCTATGTGATAAAACACCTTTCATAACCCCTGTACTGTTGTATCTGAGGTAGTTACTGCATTGATTAGCAGCCAACTCTTCACCATTGGGCTCTTATGAATTGCTCTTCCAAGCAAATACATATACAAGATTTTATTGGAATTACTGATTTCTAATGCCTAAAATATAAGCTCCAGAGTAAACTAATTGTTAAGGACAATTTTTGGTTTAGTAACTTGAGGTCCATCCTAACTATTTTTGACATCATTTGTATTATTTTATATTCATGCTAGAAATATAGTATATAATATTTCTTCACTTGCTGTGTTGTATAATATCTTCTCCTCTGGTTGTGTTTTCTAGCTTTGGTTACAGAGTAATGGTAGATTCATATAATGGGTGGAGAAGTCTTCTTTTCTTGTGGAACCACTACAGATATTTATAAAGGACCTGGCATTCATTCTTAAGTGTTTCACTTTATTCACCAATTAATCCATGGTATATCAGACTTCTTTAAAGAAATATTTTATTATTGTTCTGTCTAATGTAATCCAAAAGTTTAATATTTCCTATTTTTTCTTGTATCAATTTTGTTAACAGACATGCATTGCAATATGTTCACTCATGTAGATCACCTAAGTTGATGATACATCATGTTTGTATAAATATCTCATAATATATATTGTTTTAAGTAATAGTGGATAATTTTCCACTATTAGGAGTTATGGCATTGCAAGAGTAGGTGTGGCCTTGTTGGAGGAAGTGTGCCACTGTGGAGGTGTGCTTTGAGGTCTCCTATGCTCAAACTATGCCTGGTGTCCCAGTTCACTTCCTGTTGTCTGTGGATAAAGATGTAGAACTCTCAGCTCCTTCTCTAGCATCATGCCTGCCTACATGCCATTATGTTCCCACAATGATGATAATGGACTAAGTCTTTGAAACTGTAAGCCAACCAAATTGAATGTTTTCCATTATAACAGTTGCTGTGGTTATGGTGTCTCCTCTTAGCAATTGAAAGCCTAACTAAGACACCACGTACGCAGTACAGGCCTCTGAGTCAAAGATAAACTGAGGGCTAAGGTTTCACTCACTTGTGGTATTGGTCTAATAGGTTTGTCCATTAAGCCTCCCACATAGACTGTGTTTGGAAGCAGAGAATGAGCAAATTCAAAGGCGAAGTCAGAGTTAACAAACCACAGCTCTGCTTTCAGTAGAAGGTCAGACAAAAGTGGCTGAGAGCCTTCTGCAAAATGCTCCTGGATAGTGCCGTCATATTTAGAAAGTATTTCTCTTTGCTTCATGGAGAAATCAAAGAACATCAGGAAGTTCTTAACTCTTGCCCAGAAGTCCATTTGGTCAGTTAAACTGGAACTGTATATTGGAACATAAGACAAGTCTCTTGGTAACCTAAAGTCCATAGAGGTAGATTGCATGGGATGGAAGACCACAAATTGTTTCCCAAGTTTCTCAGCAAGCAGTAAAGAACAGAGATCTAGTGAATTAAGAAGTACTAAGTCAAAATTCTCATTCCTTAAAGAGTCCATGATGTCCTTTCTGCTTAATAAGTGACTGCATAAGTCTGCAAAGGTTTCATAAAGCTTTACAATGGTGTGATGTTTGAACCTGTAAAAAAAAAAAAAGATATATTTTGAGGAGCTTTTTCATACTATTTGGAAGAATGTTATACTCAGTGGAAGTGTTGCACAACTAGACAAACACAGCTTATAATCTAACACTCTGGAAATAGAGACAGGAGGATCAGGAGTTCATGGTTAGTCTTACACTTGTGACTTTGAGACCAGAAGGTGGGGCTAAATAACACCCTGACTCACTTAGACAAAACATGGTTTTTGTATGTTTTATTGGGAAGAATTTTTTTCTTTTGTTCTGTTTAGTGCTATACAAATTATTATATTATAGTGTTATTTAATAGTTAAACCATGTTTAACTATGTATTTTAAATTAAAATAAAGTATGTATTTTAAATTAAAAACAAAACAGTCCCATAGAAATCCATTTTCCAGTCCTCCTTCCTACAGGGAGATATTTCTTTACTTCTTGATAAGCTTTACATGTCAGAGAGAGAGAGAATATTCCAGGTGACAATACTGCACCACCATTCCACCTGAATTACAGCTGTTGAACAAAACCTTCAGCTTCAGTCATTCTGATGTAGATATAGCTCTGCTTCCCAAACTGTTTCTACATCCATCACATTTCCTCTAAGGATCTATTCCCATTCATCATCAATGTAAGTTTGATTTCTTCTGTCTTGGAAGCCCTCACTGATTACAGTGGATCTCAGAGCATCAGTCTCCATGAGCAGGTGTACTTTTTTTCACACATTATATAATGAGTTTTAGGGTGACAATATTTATTCCCTGCCAATCTGTGTAAATGGCATGATTATAGCTTCTATAATCATCAATAATAAAGTCATTTCTTTTACTCCTGTGTATCTTGGCTTGAATGTTTCACCTAACAAAGAACTTTCCAGTGATAATATTGGAACTAGGCTGAACATTTTTCAACTTGCTGCCTTGAACCTAAGCAATTTAAAAAAGCAATGTATTTTTTTGTGAAACCTAAACTTAAATGTTTGTGTGTGTGTGTGTGTGTGTGTGTGTGTGTGTGTGTGTGTGTGTGTGTGTGTGTGCCTTTTCCTTTTTAGGTGATAAAATTAGAAAGGAGGCCATGAGACCACTTAAAAGTCATCAAAAGAGATGCATGTGTCATGGAATAGTGCTGTAGAGGAAGGAGGCAACCTAGAACAAAAGATACTAACATTTATGTTTTCTAAAAAGTACATAGCAAAACCTATTACTTCATATACTAATTTAACTTTCTAATGGGAAGAAGAAGTGTGACTGGAAGCTCATTGTTAGAATTTACAAGTCTACTGCTCAAACTGACACTGAAGACTGTCCTCAACTTTAGTCATCCTACTGATGCCTCTTCCCCACAGCACTTTTCCAGGGACCCTTTCACATCAATGCTTAGCAGATAAACAACCTGGTAAGATGCACAAGTGCACCATGTTATCCTGCATCAAAAGATCCACAACATGAGAGTCCAGAGGCATGCTTATCTTCACTCACCAAATTAATGCCCACAGGACAAAAGTTTCCACAAAACTTTTCCAGCCCATGTTCCTCATAATATTTTTATATTTTGACTCCAATTCTCCCTCAGGAGTTTTTATCCAGAGTCCCATAGTCAAAGAACCGAGGACACAGTTCTTCTACAAACTCCAAGAATCTCTGCATTTGTTGCAGTTCTACCTTAACGCCCCTAGTTTTCAAACTTTCTACAAGCAAATATACAAACATCTGTTTACTGTTTCCCTGCCCCATGTTGGCTTTTCTTTCTCAGACTGCTAAGTCCACAGTGGCTGCTTGCTCCTGGACATGGTTTTCAGGTCCGGCACTAGGGAAATTCTACTCTTACCCTAAGTTTCTTCCTACACAATAGTCCTATACCTAAGCCCTATATTTTTTCCTAATTTAATAGATAGAAATTGAGAGAGAGAGATCATAAATTAAAACAAATTACCTGTCATAAGCTATTAATTCTTCTACAGTGAGTTGTATTCTTTTATCAATTTCCTTTTGCTGATCTTCAGGTAGGCGCCAGTTTATAACCCGGTATGATGTTTTCTCCTCTTTAAATTCTAAGAAAACACCAATTAAGTAAAATTTAAATATAGCACAATATACTACACATTATGGTGATAAAATAACTAATTTAGTTTCATATGTTTGTGGAAATTACATTTTTTATCTTCAGTGGCTTTGTTCTTTTGATCCATTCAGTTCTAAAATCTGGTAATATTTATTGAGACTTTAATTGAGACAATAATTCAAGAACTTTTTTATTTTATTTTATTTATTTACTTTTGATTAAATTTATTTATTTTTTTTAATTTATTTTGCAATACAATTCAGTTCTACATATCAGCCACGGATTCCCTTGTTCTCCCCCCTCCCGTCCCCCTCACCTTCCCCCCAACCCCCCCCCCCATTCCCATCTCCTCCAGGGCAAAGCCTCCCCTGAGGACTGAGATCAACCTGGTAGATTCAGTCCAGGTAGGTCCAGTCCCCTCCTCCCAGGCCGAGCCAAGTGATCCTGCTTAGGCCCCAGGTTTCAAACAGCCGACTCATGCAATGAGCACAGGACCCGGTCCCACTGCCTGGATGCCTCCCAAACAGATCAAGCCAATCAACTGTCTCACCCACTCAGAGGGCCTGATCCAGTTGGGGGCCCCTCAGCCATTGGTTCATAGTTCATGTGTTTCCATTCATTTGGCTATTTGTCCCTGTGCCTTATCCAACCTTGGTCTCAACAATTCTCGCTCATATAAACCCTCCTCATTCTCGCTAATTGGACTCTCAGAGATCCACCCGGGGCCTAGTCATGGATCTCTGCATCCAGATCCCTCAGTAGTTGGATGAGGTTTCTAGCACAACAATTAGGGTATTTGGCCATCCCATCACCAGAGTAGGTCAGTTTGGGCTGTCTCTCGACCATTGCCAGCAGTCTGTTGTGTGGGTATCTTTGTGGATTTCTGTGGGCCTCTCTAGCACTTTGCTTCTTCCTATTCTCATGTGGTCTTCATTTACCATGGTCTCCTATTCCTTGTTCTCCCTCTCTGTTGTTGATCCAGCTGGGATCTCCCACTCCCCCAAGCTCTCTTTCCCTCGACCCTCGCCCTTCACTACCCCCACTCATGTCCAGGCTGCTCATGTAGATCTCATTCCATTTCTCTGTAATTGGGCGATCCCTGTGTCTTTCTTGGGGTCCTGTTTTCCAGGTAGCCTCCCTGGTGATGTGAGTAGCAGACAAGTCATCCTTGTTTCATGTCTAGTATCCTGCTATGAGTGAGTACATATCATGTTTGTCTTTCTGAGTCTGGGTTACCTCACTCAGGATGATTTTTTCTAGATCCATCCATTTGTCTGCAAACCTCATGATGTCATTGTTTTTCTCTGCTGAGTAGTATTCCATTGTGTATATGTACCACATTTTGTTTATCCATTCTTCAGTTGAAGGGCATCTAGGTTGTTTCCATGTTCTGGCTATTACAAACAATGCTGATATGAACATAGCTGAACAAGTGCTCTTATGGTGTGGTTGAGCATTCCTTGGGTATATGCCCAAGAGTGGTATAGCTGGATCTTGGGGGAGATGGATTCCCAATTTTCTAAGAAAGCACCATATTGATTTCCAAAGTGGTTGTACAAGCTTGCATTCCCACCAGCAGTGGAGGAGAGTTCCCCTAGCTCCACATCCTCTCCAGCATAAGGTGTCTTCAGTGTTTTTGATCTTAGCCATTCTGACAGGCATAAGGTGGTATCTCAGAGTTGTTTTGATTTGCATTTCCCTGATGATTAGGGATGTTGAGCAATTCCTTAAATGTCTTTCGGCCATTTGAGTTTCCTCTGTTGAGAATTCTCTGTTTAGTTCTATAGCCCATTTCTTAATTGGACTGTTGGGCATTTTGATGTCTAATTTCTTGAGTTCCTTATATATTCTGGATATCAGTCCTCTGTCAGATGTGGGGTTGGTGAAGATCTTTTCCCATTCTGTAGGCTGTCGCTTTGCCTTGTTGACCGTATCCTTTGCTCTACAAGAGCTTCTCAGTTTCAAGAGGTCCCATTGATTGATTGTTTCTCTCAGAGTCTGTGCTACTGGTGTTCTATTTAGGAAGTGGTCTCCTATGCCAATGTGTTCAAGACTACTTCCTACTTTCTCTTCTAGCAGGTTCAGAGTAGCTGGATTTATGTTGAGGTCCTTGATCCACTTGGACTTAAGTTTTGTGCACGGTGATAGATATGGATCTATTTGCAGCCTTCTACATGTTGATATCCAGTTTTCCCAGCACCATTTGTTGAAGATGCTTTCTTTTTTCCATTGTGCACTTTTGGCTTCTTTGTCAAAAATTATATGTTCATAGGTGTGTGGATTAATGTCAGGGTCTACAATTCGATTCCATTGGTCCACATGTCAGTTTTTATGCCAGTACCAAGCTGTTTTTATTACTGTAGCTCTATGGTAGAGCTTGAAGTCAGGGATCGTGATGCCTCCAGAAGTTGTGTTATTGTACAGGATTCTTTTGGCTATCCTGGGTTTTTTGTTTTTCCATATGAAGTTGAGTATTATTCTTTCCAGGTCTGTGAAGAATTGTGTTGGTATTTTGATGGGGATTGCATTGAATCTGTAGATTGCTTTTGGTAAGATTGCCATTTTTACTATGTTAGTCCTGCCTATCCATGAGCATGGGAGATCTTTCCATTTTCTGACATCTTCTTCAATTTCTTTTTTCAGGGACTTAAATTTCTTGTCATATAGGTTCTTCACTTGCTTGGTTAGTGTTACCCCAAGATATTTTATGTCATTTGTGGCTATAGTAAAGGGTGATGTATCTCTGATTTCCTTCTCAGCTTCTTTGTCCATTGTATATAGGAGGGCTACTGATTTTTTTGAGTTGATCTTGTATCCTGCTATGTTGCTGAAGGTGTTTATAAGCTGTATCAGTTCCTTGGAGGAATCTTTGGGGTCGCTCAAGTATACTATCATGTCATCTGCAAATAGGGAAAGCTTGACTTCTTCCTTTCCAATTTGGATCCCCTTAATCTCCTTATGTTGTCTTATTGCTCTGGCTAGAACTTCAAGTACTATATTGAATAAGTATGGGGAGAGTGGACAGCCTTGCCTCATTCCTGATTTTAGTGGAATTGCTTTGAGTTTCTCTCCATTTAATTTGATGTTGGCTGTTGGCTTGCTGTAAATTGCCTTTATTATGTTTAGGTATGTTCCCTGTATTCCTGATCGCTCCAATACCTTTATCATGAAGGGGTGTTGGATTTTGTCAAATGCCTTTTCTGCATCCAGTGAGATGATCATATGGTTTTTTTCTTTGAGTTTGTTTATATGGTGTATTACATTGACGGACTTTCGTATGTTGAACCACCCTTGCATCCCTGGAATGATTCCTACTTGATCATGGTGGATAATTGTTTTGATGTGTTCTTGGAGTCTGTTTGCCAGTATTTTATTGAGTATTTTTGCATCAATGTTCATGAGGGAGATTGGTCTGTAGTTCTCTTTCTTTGTTGTATACTTGTTTGGTTTAGGAATTAGGGTAATTGTAGCCTCGTAGAAGGAGTTTGGTAATGTTCCTTCTGTTTCTATTGTGTGGAACAATTTAGAGAGTATTGGTATTAACTCTTCTTTGAAGATCTGGTAGAATTCTGCGCTGAAACCATCTGGTCCTGGGCTTTTTTTGGTTGGGAGACTTTTAATGACTGTTTCTATTTCATTAGGGGTTATTGGACTATTTAAATAGTTTATCTGGTCTTGATTTAACTTAGGTATGTGGTACCTATCCAGAAAGTTATCCATTTCTTTTAGGTTTTCCAGTTTTGTCGAATAGAGGTTTTTGAAGTATGACCTGATGATTCTCTGGATTTCCTCAATGTCTGTTGTTATGTCCCCCCTTTCATTTCTGATTTTGTTGATTTGGATGCTCTCTCTCTGTCTTTTGGTTAGTTTGGATAAGGGCTTGTCTATCTTGTTGATTTTCTTAAAGAACCAACTCTTTGTTTCATTCATTTTTTGTATTGTTCTCTTTGTTTCTATTTTATTGATTTCAGCTCTCACTTTGATAATTTCCTGGCGTCTATTCTTCCTGGGAGACTGTGCTTCTTCTTGTTCTAGAGCTTTCAGGTGTGCTGTTAAGTCACTAGTGTGAGATTTCTCCAACTTATTTATGTGGGCATTTAGTGCTATGAATTTCCCTCTTAGTACTGCTTTCATAGTGTCCCATAAATTTGGATATGTGGTGTCTTCATTTTCATTGATCTCTAGGAAGTCTTTAATTTCTTTCTTTATTTCTTCCTTAACCCATTGGTGATTCAGTTGGGTATTATTCAGTTTCCATGAGATTGTAGGTTTTCTGTAGTTTTTGTTGTTGTTGAAATCCAACTTTAGACCATGGTGGTCTGATAGAACACAGGAGGTTATTCCAATTATTTTGTATCTGTTTCGATTTGTTTTGTGGCCAAGTATGTGGTCGATTTTAGAGAAGGTTCCATGGGGTGCTGAGAAGAAGGTATATTCTTTTTTGTTAGGATGGAATGTTCTGTAGATATCGATTAAGTCCATTTGGGCCATGACATCAGTTAAGTCCTTTATTTCTCTGTTAAGTTTCAATTTGGGAGATCTGTCCAGTGGTGAAAGTGGGGTGTTGAGGTCTCCCACTATTAATGTGTGGGGTTTTATATGTGATTTAAGCTTTAGTAATGTTTCTTTTACATATGTGGGTGCCCTTGTGTTTGGGGCATAAATATTCAGAATTGAGACTTCATCTTGGTGGATCTTTCCTGTGATGAGTATGTAATGCCCTTCTTGATCTCTTTTGATTGATTTTAGTTTGAAGTCTATTTTGCTGGATATCAGGATGGCTACACCCGCTTGTTTCTTAAGACCGTTTGATTGGAAAGTCTTTTCCCAGCCTTTTATTTTTAGGTAGTATCTATCTTTGAATTTGAGATGTGTTTCTTGTATGCAGCAGAAAGATGGGTCCTGCTTTTGTATCCATTCTGTAAGCCTATGTCTTTTTATAGGTGAATTAAGTCCATTGATATTGAGGGAAATTAATGACCAGTGATT